GGTCGTGGAGTATGTGAGGACGCCCAGCAGTGGTGGCTGCAGCCAGTGCCTGTGAGCGGTCACCGGCCCTGGAGAGCCGGGGGGGCCAGCAGGGAGCACCCCCTGGAGCCAAGGACCTCGCTTTGCCCTGCGGCAATGGTGCTGCTGTCCGGGTGTTCCCAAACTGCAGCTGTGTCAGAGGAACCCGGCGGAGGGTAGAGCTGTTGCATCTAGAGGGTTGGGGAGAAAAAAGAAAAGAAAAAAAAAAGAAAAAACAAACACAAACAAAGCAAATGTGTAGATAGATAATTTTTTAAGAACTGCAGCTGCACCACTGTGTGGATGTGGGGGCGGGCTCTCTGCCTGCCTTGCTTTGCCTTTCCCCCCAGCACAGCCCCACAGCCATGGAGGGCAGCACCAGTGGCCCCCTTCATGACAGCCCTATCCCTTGCATCCAGCCTGGAGAGCTGGGGGCTTTTTCAGCACCTAGGGCTGAAGCAGAGGGGCCTGACGTGGCAGAGCCTGGTGGGCTGTGGCAGGCAGGGGCCTGTGTGGTGCCACTGGCATCCCATGGTCCCAGCAAGGCCAGAGCCCGGCTCTCCGGCCTCTCCTCTGGCAGCCCTGGCCTCCCTACTGAGGACAGGAAGCAAGCAGCTCCCCAGGACAGTGGCTGGAGTGCTGGAGCCCAGAGTGTGTCCCAGATACCATCACCAGCTCCATGGCCACAGCCTGACCCACTGGTGGCATTCCTAGCCTGTGCTCAACCAGGCTCTGAGGGGCACGGCTCCAGCCCATTGCAGTGGTGTCGGGGCCACACTGGGTGCAGCAGGACAGGGGTGGTACCAAAAGTGCTGAGTAGGGGCACAGGCAGTGGGATGCAGATGTCTGGGCGGTCTCAGGGCCTGCCCTGCCTGTGCTGTGGGGGTCAGCACTGTGCTGTTCAAGTGGAAGGGGGCCCCAAATACCCCCTGCCCAGCCGGGTGGGAGCCACGTGGGGCAGCACAGGAACCCCTTTCCTCCAGGCTCAGCCCTGGGACAGGGGGCTGCTGGGGTGTGGGTTTGCTGTGCCCATCACCAGGGCTTCAGAATTGAGGGGGCTGGGGCCAGTTGAAGAGGCGGAAGATGCACAAGCCTGGAGCTAACACTGCTGCCAGGGCACGTCCCACCAGCTCCTGGACTCAGGTGCCCCTGCAGCACCTCTCCAAAGCCTGCAGTAGCAGGGGACGCACTGGGCTGGTGTGGGCGCAGGGGCACATCCACCTGACCTGCTCACAGCATCACTTCTGTGCCCCTGGGGGCTGAGGACGGTGGGGGCCCACCCTAGGACACCCCACAGCTGGACAATGTGTCACCACAGCGGACAAACTCACCCCAGGACTGCAGCCTCGGGTCTCTCCATTGCCCCGCTCCAGTGCATTGGCCTCAGGTCCACACCACTGCCAGCGGCTGGGCTCCGGGCATCAACACCGGGTGCAGCTGGCTCCATGGGTGCCATCACCATCCCTGCTCACCACCAGCACCAAGGACATTTCCACCACCACGGAGATGTGTTTCTACCACAAATGTCCTCTCCATGGGAGCCCCCACTACTGCACAGAGGAGCTAGGACACATCTCATTTTGCCCATGGCCCGGCCAGGGTTCGGTTGTGTTGTGTTTCTGTTCTTGCTGTAAGCTAACCGCTAAAGTATCTCTTTATACAGAATACTTACAGATTCTAATATATATTTGTATTTCATTTTGTTATAGTATTTTTATATGTTTGGGGTCAACAAATGATGTTTTCTTTTTGTTTACAGATACTACTGGGCAGGAAAATGACGGTGGCTTTGTTTGGCCCGTGGGGTTTGTGTGTGTCACTGTTGAAGACGCTGGTTTGTACTAGGCTGGCGAGGGAGGCGCTGCGCATCCCTCCGCTGGCAGAGGCTGTATTGTTTTAGGAGATGTTTGGTATTGTCTATGTTGTCTTCCATGTGAACATGACATTTATTCATTCAGAGGCTTGGCCTCTTCTTTCCTGGAGAGGAGAAGGGGGCAGATGATGCTCGGGAGCTGCTGGATGTACAGAGGTGGCAGAGGCTGGGGCGACGGTCGGTCCTGCCATGGGTGACAACCTGCTGCTCCTGGAGCAGTCCCAGCCACCTCCTCTGCCCAGAGCATCGCCCACGTGGGGCTGGGACATAGGAGAGGGGCCTGGGCAGCACCGAGGGGTTGCGCTGTTTGTGCCACAAACACAAATGTGCTGCAGACGGCAGCACCATCAGCTCAGACACTGGCGTGGGAGCACTCAAATCCCACCTGGGCATTTATATCCCTCCTTGTGCACTCACTCACCTTCGCCCTTCCCCAGTTATCACACCAAGCAGATGTTGATATCAAAGAAACGTTTAATAAGCTGCAATAAAATACGGACCTTTAGAAAGCTCATAGGGTGAATATCGACAGTGGACAAAGAAAAGAAAACAAGGTGGTGGGAATCCTTGAGGAGTTCAGATCTGAGTCAGGGACCTTTTACCTGGAACAAGAACACAACTTCTTCCATAGGCTAGGATGAAATAAAAGACAGGAGCACAGAGTTCACAAAATGTCAACATTTAGAGAGTCGATACATATTCAAAGTTCAAATGACCCAGCTCTTATAGCTATACATATTGATTTAAAGCAACTTAATATAATTTTATTTTATTTTCTTTTTTTATATATACACTTTCAAAGGTTCGTCAGGTGAGGTATGTAAACATTATCTAATGGAAACCCCTCTCCACATTTCCAACCAAGAATTCACAGCAGACAGTTCATTTTCCCAACTCGCCACACAGTAATTCCCACTCCCCAGAGCAACCAGGAAAGCCATCCCAAGCCATGGCTCTCCAGGCACAGCCACCATCTCCCATTTCCCACCGCTGGTCTGTACAGTTCACATTGCTTAGGCTCAAACATACAGTACCGGTCAGGAGGACTTTTCAGCTCAGTGTCTAAAATTCATACAGAACAAACAGAGAAACAAAACTCTCCCAGGGAAGCAGACACAGGTGAAGGAAAAACATTTGCCATCGGGGTGGAGATAACATTTAAATGTTGGGCATTTTAAGAAAAAAATATTACTGGGTTGTTGTTGCCTTTTTTCCCTTTTCTTTCTTTTATTTTTTCTTTTTTTCACCTAGCTGTTCCAAGGGTGAAGGAAGCGCGGGGCTGGTGAGGGGTCCTGCAGGGCCGGGACCCAGCAGCTCCCCCTTCTCCAATCCCCAAAGTCAGGGACCCACCACCAAAAAAGCAGCGATCACCCTGCTAATGCTGCCCCTCATGGGCCACTGGGGTGGGGGCACAGCCAGCGAACACTTCCAGGCAAAAAGGAGTTAAAAAGAAAGACAAATCCAAACACACTGATGGAAAAACAACCAAATTACCTCAAACCCCCGGAAGGAGAATAAAAATTGCAGAACGGCAAGCAAATAAGCACACGACCTTCTGGAGCCAGTGCGGGGATTTTGAAGGCGCCTGCGGCGCGCTCCCTTGGGTCACCCATACCCGCAGGAAGGAGCCCTGAAGGCAGCTGCTCACTGCAGTAATTCACCAGCAGGAGTTTGCATTGGTAACTACATACCCTACCCTGGCCATTGTGGGGGGGGGTTCCCTGGGGGTGACAGCAGCCCCCACCTCCTGCATCCCTGGGGACACCTCCTTGGGCATCCCCAGGCCAAGGGAACCCCCCCATCCCACATTGGCTCCCGGGAGCGGGGTTATTCCCACCTGGCCCTGAGCCCCGAGAGCCCCTGCCATCGCAGCAGACATTATT